CAAAATATTTGCTGCAACACACTGCAATGCACTTTAGTGCACTGCCATGCATGTTTTTGCAATGCAGAAATGTAAATTGGCCCTCAAGGTTTTAGCAATCTAACTCCTGATATTAGCTAAAAAAGTGTGGAGCATGCAGCTCGCCAAATTCTGAACACTTAGATGCTTGTCCAATAAAGTAGATATTGCTTCACAGTTTAACTCCCAGTGGCTGCATTAATAATCCCCAGCATCAGTATTAGTGGAAGCAAAAATAAACCCTCCTTTTATGGGGTCAGTAGAAATATAAATGATCCACCCCTCTTTCATTGGTGGTCAGTATTGGGTTGAGACTGTACTTTTACTGTCAGGCAGAGATCACTCTGTCTAACAGTTGCCACGTGGAGGTAGCGAGTGTGGAGCACCCCCTCCCCTGGAATACTGCTTTGACTCATTTTGTTACATAGGGATAGTGAACCTGTTGACATAACAGACAAAAAATGCAAAGTCCACGATGAAATCCGATTCACTATTATTGTTGTTGTTATTATTATTATTATACAGTATTTATATAGCGCCAACAGTTTGCTCAGTGCTGTACAATGGGAGACAGTACACGAGACAGCACAGTAACAATACAATACAATAGACGAGGGTTTCGAGGGGCCCTGCTGCTTGGAGCTTACAATCTAGGAGGGAGGGGATAGTGGGGGCTGGGGGGAAAACTAGGAGCTCGGTTTTGGAAAGGTTTAATTTGAGGAAGTGGCGTGACATCCAATCTGATATGTCGTTCAGAAGGCTAGTGATTCGGGCGAAGACTGAAGAGGTGAGACGAGGGGTAGAGAGGTAGATTTGTGTGTCATCGGCATAGAGATGGTAGTTGAAGCCGTGGGAGTGTATCAGTTGGCCAAGGGAGGAGGTGTAGATGGGGAAGAGAAGGGGCCCGAGGACAGTACCTTGAGGGACCCCAACAGAGAGGGGGAGTGAGGGGGAGGTGGCAGCATTATAGGTAACACTGAAGGAGCGCAGTGATAGATAGGAAGAGAGCCAGGAGAGAGCGGAGTCTCTGAGGCCAAGAGAGTGTAGTTTGTTGAGGAGGAGGGGGTGGTCGACCGCGTCGAAAGCCACGGAGAGGTCGAGGAGTAGGAGCACTGAGTTGTGGCCATTAGCTTTGGCGGTTAGCAGGTTGTTGGTGAGTTTGAGTAGGGCGGTTCGGTGGAGTGAAGGGGATGGAAGCCAGACTGTAGGGGATCAAGGAGGTTATTGTCGGTGAGGTGGGAACTCAGGTGATTATAGACTAAGCGCTCAAGGAGTTTGGATGTAAATGGCAGCAGGGAGATGGGTCTAAGGTTGTTTAGGTTGGTGGGATCCAGGGAGGGTTTTTTAAGTATGGGAGTGATGTGTGCGTGCTTCAGAGGGTAGGGGAATGCGCCAGTAGAGAGGGAGAGATTAAAGATATGAGTGAGGGAGCGTAGGATGGAGGAGGAGGGTGATCGTAGGAGTTGTGTGGAGACAGGGTCAAGGGGGCAGGTGGTAAGGCGAGCTTCAGAGAAGACCTTAGTGACCCTTCAGTGGTAGCAGGGTCGAAGGAGTGGAGTGTTGAGGGGGTTTTAGTGTGAGGAATGTTGGGTGGGGTGGAGGTCTGAACAGTGGTAAGAACGAAGGAAAGGAGTGTTGAGGGGGTTTTCGTGTGAGGGATGCTAGGTGGGGCAGAAGTCTGAGCAGTGGTGATGTCCCTACGAATTTCGTCGATCTTGCTTTGGAAGTGGTTAGCAATCTCGTGGGCGGTGAGTGAGGTACTGGGTGGAGGTGGGGGCGGAGAGAGTAGAGAGTTAAAAGTAGAGAAGAGCCGGCGAGGACTGGAGGAGGGGGTATTGATGAGGGTTACAAAGTAGGCTTGCTTGGCAGCGTGGAGGGAGGAGGTGTAGGTGCGGAAGGTGGACTTATATCGGGTAAACACTTGTTGGGATCTGGTTTTGCGCCATAGTCGCTCCAGCGCACGACTGCGTCGCTTGAGATTTTTGGTATGGTCATTCTGCCAGGGTTGAAGCAGTCAGGGTCTAATGTTTTGTGTGGTTAGGGGTGCTAAGGAGTCAAGAGCGGCTGACAGTGAGTTGTTATAAACAGTAGTGGCCAGGTCAGGGCAGGAGAGAGGAAGGATACTGTCATAAAGTTGGTCAGCTTCAGAGTGGAAGGGGGCAGGGTCCAGGTTTCGCATCTTTTTTGCATCTTTTAAATCAGGCAACAGCAGACTCTGACAATAATGAAATCTGACAATCCCAAACTAATAGAAAGTGGAGATGACAGAGAAGTCATGCTGAGCACAGTGCCATTTCTCCATAATTTGCAAGTCAGTGACAAGTGATGAGCTTTATATCTTGTGTGTGTATGGGGACAAGCAAAGTTGTAAGACACATCTCATATAACCCCCCCCCCCACTAAAATAATCGTTGTAAGACAGATCAGGTTGGAATCATAAACAGAACATAGCAGGGTCTGCAAGTTCTCAAAAAGTACTCTAAGGCATCCGATAAATAACTGGGCACCTTCATTAAGCATAAACCTTCATTAAGCCAGAGCCTACTAATAGCTATGGTAAATGGTGTGAAACCATACAATTGCTGGTCTGACATTCTCTTTATTGCAAAAAAACCTGAATACATCCATATTCTATAAATCCTTATAATTTACTTGATTCATTACAATTGTCTACCCAAATGTATAAGAAAAAAACAAACAATCAGTTTGATACCAGCCATGTCTACAGTATGTCTTAATTTCCAGAATATGACCTGGTCACATTATACCCCCTGCGTGATGTGCGTATCCTGATTATACCATGTTGGGACTTTAGTAAACCAAAATTTCATTTTGTACAATATATTGGTTAACATAAAAAAAATGATTGTCTGGAAATATTGATGTATTTAGAAAATCTGTCCTTGGAGGAGTGTCTGCTGAAATATTATAATAAACTTCATCATAAAACACACCTCTTGATTTAATAGAGGTTGGCTCAGTGAAATCCTCAAGGGTGTCAAACTGGTGGCCCTCCAGCTGTTGCGAAACTACAAGTGCCATCATGCCTCTGCCTTTGGGAGTAATGCTTGTAACTGTCATTCTCGCAATGCCTCATGGGACTTGTAGTTTGGAGACAGCTGGAGAGTCGCCAGCTTGATACCTGTGCTAGAGGGTCCAAAAAACATTGCTGCTATTGACAGCTAGGAACTCTCCACTCCATCAAAACTGTGCACAAATGCTGAGTCAGTTATAAGAGCCAGCAATTCATTAGTGTATCAACACTCTGAAGTGACACAGGAAGCAAAATCCAGGCAAACCTTGCCAATTACCTTTCATTTTTAATCCCATTTGTTTTACTGCTGTTGTTGTCATTAAGCTGATTATTTAACTGCTCTAAATAAGAAATTTAAAGAAAACCTTGCCTTTTTGAAGAACCCATATTTTTAGCTCTGTTACCTTCCTGTCTGACGTGACAGTGAGTTTCGCAGACATTTCTTAAAGTCAAAATTGTTACAACTCTAACAAACTCATGTTTTTCTATCATGCCTATGCACTGAGATATGACTACTGTTCAACTGTTATCTTTGTTATCCTTCATAACATTTCAATAAAAATGTTAAAATATATAAAACATGCTGTAAATGGTGCATGTTTCTATTACAACACATGATGGCAGCTACTGTTTGAAGGATATTTGTGGAGTTGACCACCCCAGTGACAATCCCTCTGAACCCACTGCTGCTTAGAATGCTTTTCTACAAACTGGAAAATCTCTGCACAGGATGAGGCTGGATCTGTCGTACTGAATTCTGGCTATAAACACCCACTAATTATTGAGCTGAACTAGAGAAGTGAGTCAATTGGTTTCATGAGATTGGACAGGTTGACAAATTTTATGGTGCACAGGAAAATCACATTTTACCAATTTTGTTTTAAAATGTTTGTGCTGGATTCTTTCTTAGATATTAATATTTATAGGTAAAGTTGATCCAGGGATTTTTTTTTCTCTGCATGAGCAAATTGGATCATGCTTTGCTGGATTTTTTTGCCTTCCTCTGGATCAACTGTGGGTATAGGATTATAACTTTTTTTCTTTTAATGGTTGAACTGGATGGACTTTTGTCTTTTTTCAGCCAGACTAACTATGTAACTATGTAGCTTGTCACACGGGAGTGCCTTGGCAAACTTACATACAATTTAGGCACAATTAACATTTCTAAATGTGTTCTTATAACATATCAAATCTTCATTTTTTAGTTTAAAATTTTCATCCTTGTTACCCTAATAATTAAATTCTTGTTTTGGATAGATGTTGGTGAACTGATGGCCTAATATATCTTAGATATTCTGATGATAAAACCTATGTTTCAGAGTTTACCATCATGCCACAATGGTAAATGATGGTCTCTATGGCTAAAACATTAAATTAATTTATTTTACATTATATAGAATGCTAAACAAGGAATCAGATGCCTTTTCTGGCTTTTGTTGGTGAGAATGACTTTCCCCATATGGCCCTACAGAGTGGGTAACAAACTATTGCAGGAAAAAGATTCCTTAAGCTGGCCAGAGATCAATCGAAATTCAGCCAGTTCAGCAGAGACTTGTGGATGTGTGAATCCGTTGTTGTTTTTTTTTTTTTTTCGATCAGCCCCCTGGAAATCCATTCATGGTCAGCTTTGGTGTCTTTCAGAGATAAAAGAACCAGCGTGTGATTCATTATACAATTTCAAAACCTAAAACAGAGATATCAGTTTAGGGCAGAATTGAGTGCTAATCAGAGAGAAATTTCACCACAAATTTGAATATAATGGATGTTTTCTCTCTCTTTTTTTCCACACAGGATGAACCACTCACTTCTCACTGACAAGTTCTCCACAGCCCTCAATTTTCAGAAACTTATAATGAATAAATGTCGACATGTACCTGACATTACACCCTTTCTTGGAACATCTTACAGCCTGGTGATCGTCCTGGGCTTGCTGGGAAATAGCTCCTTGATGTATGTACTCTTTCGAAGAAAAGAAAAGGGCAATGTGACTAACATTCTTATTGCCAATCTAGCCTTCTCTGACATTCTTGTAGGAATCTTCTGCTTACCCTTCACTGCTGTCTACACCATCATGGATTACTGGATGTTTGGTCGGTGCTTATGCAAGACCACCAATTTTGTCATGTGTGCATCAGTTACAGTATCAATCATGATCCTAGCCCTCATTGCTTTGGAAAGACACCAACTTATCCTGCACCCAACTGGATGGAAACCTAGTGTCATCCAAGCTTACATAGCTATACTACTTGTTTGGGGTGTGGCTTCTCTTCTAGCTGTGCCATTGGTCAATGCTGTAGATTTGACAGATGGCATTCACAAAAATATTTCAAATGTTTTGGACTCACTTGCAGACAAGTCTGTTTGCTTGGAGAAGTGGACCTCTGTTCAGGAGAGGAGAGCATACACTGTGACAATTTTGCTCTTGCAGTATGTCGTGCCACTTTGCTTCATAATATGTTGCTACCTCCGGATATCTGTGTATTTGCGCCGTAGGGAAGGTCTGTTAGGAAGGAGCTATAGCCACATGAGAAGAATCAACATTATGTTAGGGTCCATGCTTGGAGCATTTGCCATTTGCAATTTGCCACTTCATATTTTTAATATTATTGTGGAATGGAACCACCAATTGATTTCTGTGTGCTACCACAACCTTATCTTCTCCTTGTGTCATTTGTTAGCCATGATTTCGACTTGCATCAATCCTGTCATCTATGGTCTCCTTAATAGTAACGTGAAGCAAGAAGTAAAGTTATTGGTTGAGAGGTGTGTAGGGCGGACACAGAGGCGGCCTAAAAACCCAGGAAGAACCAGAAAAGCATCCTCTTGCCATCAAATGTGGTTCAGCTTTGCCTGGTTCTCCAAGTTCAGATCATGGAAGAAATGTGTGTTAAGAGGCAGCATATGAGCAGTTAAATTCACTGCAAGAAAATTACACAGATGCAAAATAATAACATCGTAAGCAGGGGTGGACTGACAACTCATGGGGCCCCTGGGCAATATGGGATCATGGGGCCCCTGTGTCCTTGCCCAAACTCAAAAAAGCCTATGAAAAAGGTACCAGGGGCATCTCATGGGGCCCCCTACTGACCCTGGGCCCTCAGGCAGTGCCCGAGTTTCCAAATGGTCAGTCCGCCCCTGATCGTAAGATATATATATTACATGTACTTATACATTAGATATAAATTTGGTGGACTTGTAACAATTGAAATGCTAATGCTCACACGTATGAAGATATCAAAGTCATGTTGTGACTTATAATATCAATGACTTGTTTATGTACATACATCCTGGGAGTCTTTATAAATTCATGAAGCAGAACTCAATCAGGTGACCAACTTATTGCACTTCTTAGAGCACCAGGACTTAAGGAAGCACGCAATGATCAATAGTAACTGAATCAGGAAACTCACTAAGCTGGCTACTGTTGATTCTCCTTAATATTTCCTGCAGATTTACAGAGATTCAACCAATTCTCATGTTCTCAAGTCATGATTTATGAATTGCATAATTTTAAACAGACCAGACACACGTGCATGCAAAATTTCAGGAGAGTTGATTCCACTGCTTTTTCAGTTTGCTCATAATTATTCTGCTGGTAATTCCCCATTAGCTTTTGACATGTATGGGTGGTAATAAGGATCAGGCCCATTTTCCAGCAGCTCCTAGCAAAATCAGGCATTTTTGCATTATCACACTAAGCTTAGATCTAGTATACTTTAATAATAGATCTAAGCTTAGTGTTATACTTTAATAATAACACAAAACATGTCTCTGGTCTACAGCCACCATTGTAACTGCACAGTCAAGTGTAGGAAGATTGCCTTACTGCTATTCATTGTAAGACTATGGGAATTTTCTATCCATCCATCCATCTTGGTCCATAGAGGTTTCCATTTATTGTACAGCTTCACATTTGGCCTGTGAGTAACTTTGACTTGACTTGAACTGTTTTTGTAGTGTCTATACTCTGCATTTAGAGTTCATTCATGCTTATGGAGAAAACGTTTCTGACCAGGATGGAGTTCTACGTTAGATACGTTTATGGAGGTGATTGGATTTTCTACCTAAAGTGTAGCTGTATCGTAAACAGGAAAGCCCCTTTTAGGGTATCATACATGTCACAGCAACGATATATATATGTTAATTATGTGAGAGCACTTGTACAGTATCCATTTCAATGCCCTTTTATTATAATCTACAGTATGTATATGTTTGATACTCGTATTAAAAATAGTTGACACTTTCATGTGTAATTACTTTCTAATGATTTTGATTACCATGTTCATGTGGCAATTTATACAATAGTGGTTTGCTTTTCAGATAAAGTGAGAGTGAGACTATTGCCTTTTTTACAAATACAGTATATAATTTACAAGAAAACTGTAACACTTTTAATAACCCCAGATTATAACAATTGATGATGATTGAGTTTTCCTCTACTCACTTTTTGTAATGTCCTCAGTTTTGACCATAAGTAACTAGCTTAGACTGACCATACACTAGTAGAATTTCTTTTGACATTTTTAATTTTTGGAACATTTTTTCCATTCTCTTTGGTTAGTGGGGTATAATCCACATTTGTTTTTGACCGTACTGATAAGAAAATTGTAAGAAACAAAATGAAAATTTTTGCTTGAATGAACACATTTCTAACAGTGAATGTGTTTTTTGTTCAGGGAAATTCCATTCATAACAAAATCAAATGTTAAAAGCAAACTAAATGTTGAAGTACTTTCAAACAACGTTTGTTAAACACTCCCTCACTGGTGCTGGACAGGTTTCGGCCATCTTCATTGGCAGGTGCAGGATGATGTCACTCCTGCACATGTGAACAAGCTAGTGATCCCATTGGATCATCCGCTCCGCTGTAAACTGAACTCCTCTGTCGCAGCTCATTTTACAGTCCAGGGATCATTGTGAGCAGGTAGGTAGGTGTGTTTTATTGCAGAAGTGACATTGCATGTCTCTTCTGCAATAAAATACCTGCCTGCTCATATTGTATCATAGCAGAACTTTACTTAGTCTATGTTGGCATTATCAAATGTATTGACAAGATTTTACACACCAACAATCGTTTAAAAATCCTAGCAGTGTATTTCCAGCTCTAGTCTATAAAAAAAATATTGTCATCTAGCCCATATCTCCCAACTTTGGAGATGGCAAGAAATAACATATTATAACACCAATTTTAAAATCAAGGACATTATCCTATCATGTCCCTAATTATGTAGACTGTAGCACTACAACCATAGGAGATGCTGTATGATTGCCTAGGGTTCTTTTCCCAATAGTTGCAAGGCAGCCAAGAACAAAGTTCAAGTCACTCTTAAGGCTCATTAACCAGTCTAGGGGTATGATGTTTTGAGGATTTAATGAAATCTTGAACGTGGATATGTAGAGGGTAACTGTAGGATACTCCAGTAAGTTCTAGCAACACTAATCTTCCTTTTAGAAGTGTGAGCATGAGTCCTTTCAGAAAATATTTGACTGTGCTTTTTAGGAACACTATAATAGTGCATTCCCTTTAGGTAGAACTGAAATAGGCTGACTCTATTGCAAGAAGTATTGCAGCAGCACACAGTCTCAAGGATTTCTCACAGAGATCTGTACTCGCTAATGTCCTTAGATAATAGGGTGCCTCCTTCCAATATCTTCCAGATTCCAAAATCCTCTTGTTCAGCTTCAGCAAAGTAACTGTAGAATGGGTCCCCAGACCAGCAGGGTGAGGACATTGATGAGCAGCAGAAAGCAGGAGCAGGTGCTGACTGCCCAAGAGGGCAGCATGCCCTCTAGGCTAGACTTTCCCTCTCCAGGACAAGACAAGACTGTTTTAAGTCTCAAACTATTTATACAGTTTCCCATCACTCATCTATGCTATCTTCCTACAGGGATTGGCTGATATAGTATATTTGTTCAGGCTGTTCATTTGCCTCACTTCTCACCTATGTTCCAGAACCATACAGTAGGTTCTAGAATGCAGGAGGAGTAATCAAACCTGCAGCCTGTAAAATAGAGAACTCACTGTGGCAGAGAGTCCCAAATGAACCCTGGGAAAGTCCTGTTCAGTGTTTATACATCTCCCAGGTTCCTGACCTATACCTTTAGGGATCTCTGATATGAGGTCCAGTGCAGGGTTTACCTCTCTCCATAGGCAATAAAATCCACCTGGGACCTGTAGCCAGAGCTCTCAGCCTGGGAATCAGACAAGTACTGTCTGGAGAGCTGAAAGGTTGGTGGAAACTAGCTGTGTATGTTGTGGCTGACAAGTGGTAGGCTTGATTGGTCTGATAGTTAGGACCTGCATTACTGTGTAATGAGAGCCGGGACACAGCTAGGTTTTGTTTGATATTTTCTTGCCCTGTTTATTTTGGTTAAACAATGTACAGCACTTTGTATATCATTGTGGAAATAGCACTAATAAACACCTTCACTGTTTGCCACTAATCTCACTGAATTTGGTATCTGTGCCTGAAAGACTGCTTACCCCAGGAAGCATACTGTATATCCCAGCTGCCTATCCCGAGCTCACAACACCTAAACAATTACATGCAGCTGTATAGCAAATGCAATGATTTAGAGGTTTAATGAAATGTTTAGTGTAGTGTAACCCTCTTAATAGTTAGAAAAAAAGTGTTTATGACTTTGGTACATCAGAGCCGGTAAAGGATAGAAGGACTTGATTACCAAAAAGGGGAAATCCCTCCAAATGAAAGACAGTTGGAAGCTATGACCCAGCCTGTTTTCTCTATATAGGAAAAATACAGAAAAGGGTGAGTTACAGCATTGCAATTTCTAGTCTCTGGTTATCTCTTCAATATGCTTGATGCTGTGGAGAATACTGACTGATAGAGTTAAGCTGGCCATAGATATACATATTTTTTTCTGTACGTCAAATCTTTTTGTACCATTTTAGAGGTACAATGAATGAATGGGTAAAGCTGGGAGATGGTTCACAAATAGCTTAATAGATCCTAATGGATCAACAATGGCTTAAATTGGTATGTGGCAGCACAGTGGCTGAATGGTTCGCGTTTCCACCTGGCAGCACTAAGGTCTTTGCTTCGAATCACAACCATGGCACCACCTGCCTGGAGTTTGCAATTTCTCCCTGTGCTTGCCTGGATTTCCTATGGGTACTTCTGCTTCTTCTCACACTCCAAAGACATGCTGGTAGGTTAATTGGCTCCTGTCTAAATTAGCCCTAATATATATATATATATATATATATATATATATATATATATAATGTATGACCTTAGATGTATGCTCGTTGAGGATGGGGACTGTATGATCTATAATGTGAATGTACAATATATACAGTATATGTAAAGCGCTAAGTACATTGCTGGTGCTATATACAGTACCTGTAATACATTTTCAATGAATGTATAAAATGTGTATGTATAGCCAAAATATAAAAAAAATTGGCTAGAGATGGGAAGAGTTAAAACCCCTGTCAGTTTACGTTTTGTCATCTATGTTCCATTTAATAGATTTCTCTTTACGACCTGTCCTGGAAACACCCTAAGAAGTGAGAGATAATCTCTAGAAAGTGAGGCAGTCCCCCCTTCTAAACGGTTGTTACTTCCTGTATTGGTAAGAGTTGTAACATTTGAGATTTTTCCTCACTTTCAGTCCCAGGGCCATTGGTCACCAATACAAATAGAGAGGATAAATCTCCCCAGCCAAGACCGTAATAAAAGACAGTAATAAAAACCTGACAGTCTCTATCTCTTTCCTATTCTATCCAAAACAAAAAAAAACAACTTTTGGCTAAACGCATGCATTAAACCTTCCATTGAGTACTGATAAAAAAATATGTACTGTCTAATAAGAGCCAGATCCTTCAAACCTCCCATCCTAAGCTAACAAAACAGAATTTTCATTGGCTGTCATTGTCACTTAGACACCAGTGTTCGTATTTGCACCATGTTATTAACCACTTCCCGCCCGGACCAATTGTAAAATTATTGGCGTGCGGGACTTTCATAATTTCGGGTGGACATCATATGATGTCCTCCGAGAATGCACCTCATGTGCGGCTGCACTGCAGCGTGTTCTGTCCAGGGGCGGACTGGCAACTCATGGGGCCCCCAGGCAATAGGGGATCATGTGTCCTTGCCCAAACTCAAAAAAGCCTATGAAAAAGGTACCAGGGGCATCTCATGGGGCCCCCTACTGACCCCAGGCCTTCGGGCAGTGCCCAAGTTTCCAAATGGTCAGTCCGCCCCTGGTTCTGTCATCGGCTGTGTCACAGCTGATGACATAACTGGGCTGCTGCCGGTACCATGTGGTCACTGTGACCAATCACAGCAGATCACATGACAATTTTAAGCAATGAATGGTTTCAATTCATGTCATTCATTGTGTACAATTGTGTTGCTAGCTGTGATTGGTCACAGTGATTACATGGTACAGGCAGGACCTATCACAGCCCATCTGTACCTTGTGAATAGCTGTGGTCAATCACAGCGAATCACAATACACACTGAATTAATCAATTGCATTCAGTAACATTGAATTCACTGTTAAAAGCAATCATAATGTGTAAAAATACAAAAAAATCTGGATCACTTCCCTAGAGTAGTACAATATTACTATGGTAACACTGTATTGCACTGGTCATAGTGTGTTAAAAAAAAAACACAAAAAGCCCCAGTATGATGAAACTGTACTGCACTGTTGACAGTATGTAAAAAAAAAAATAGTGATAAAAGATTTTTTAAAATTTTTTCACTTTCCAAAAAATTATGATAAAAAATATTACAATTTCAAAAAACAAGCCTCTTACTAAATACTTTGGACTGTCTACTTTCCAAATAGGGGTCATTTGTGGGATATTTATACTATTCTGACATTTTTGGGCCTCAAGAAATGGGATAGACTGTCAGTAGATTAGAATTGATTGATTTTCAAATATATACCATTGTTTGTGGACTTTAACTTTCCTACAGGCTAAATAGTATATACTGATTTGGGTTATTTTCACCAAAGAAATGCAGTATGATACATTCTGGCCTAAATGTATGAAGAAAGATCATTTATTTGCTAAATTTTATATCAGAGACTAAGAAAAATGCTTTTTTTTTCAAAATTTTCAGTCTTTGTTTATTTAACAAAACAACCCCAGTGGTAATTAAATACTAACAAAAGAAACCTGTATTTGTGTGAAACAAAATGATAAAAATATTATATGGGTACAGTGTTGCATGACCATATAATTGTCTGGGCAGGAAGAGGGTGAAAGTGCCCGGTATTGAAGTGGTTAAATACACCCATAATAATGCATATATTACATGTCAACTGAAACATAGTAATTCTGATTTGGGTAGGTTACATCAGTTGCCAATTTATCTAAATACTACCAAGATTACATTTAATCAGAGTAGTAAATGCTTCTGCCCCCTCCAAAATGGTCATAATGATGATGTCACTTTGCCAAAGCTGGTTTCTCTATATTTTTTTATATATTTATCAAGAAAAATGACATTATTTGACACTATTAGTTTAGGACCGGAAATTTTAGGGGAGACTTCTCGATGGAATCACACAAAGTTGTAGCTCAGCTTTCAGTATATACAACTACGCAAGACTGAAAAAAAAATGTTTTGATGGAGCTGGCCTTCTCAATTAGCAGTCCCTTCTTCTCAGTGCAGTATTTAATAATAGCCCAGTGACATCATGATGTTTACATAGAATAAGCTGTACACTCTTGAAATGAGTACATTTCCTCTGATCAGTCGAGCTTTTAATACAATTTACTGTAATCCTTGCCAAGCACTCTTGACCTGAGGGAGCTCCCCTCAATGTAGACCATAAGGATTTGGATCTCACAGCCTACATTTTGGTAATACAGACCTTAAAAATTTGAATGGTTGCTTCTGGTATGTTGGTGTCTGCATGAAGGAATTTATTTCTAACTCCTGAAAGTTTATGTAAATAATTTAACTTCACTCTGATACTCTACACCACAATTTAAAAGTTAAATAAAATCTTTGACCTCAGCTTAACCACTAATCATGACCTTTGACCCAACCACTAAGCATAACCCTTAAAGTGGAGTTCCAGTCTTTTTGTAGCCTCCCTATCGGTTTGATTATGTCCATATTTCTGTGCTCAAAGCGGTACTTTTTTTGTATGGAAATATGTCGTTTTTTTATTGTAGGCCTGTAATTTTTAGGAAAAACTTACTGAAATCTGTCTGAACAAGAGTCTAGTAAACATCCCGGGTATGTTAAAATTTGAAACACAAAATCATAAATTATGATCATAAAAAATAATATATTAATACATTTAATTCAATAATATAATCAAACCAATAAAACTGAAATTTGAAATGGAGAGCCAAGTTCGCACATGACTAAGCTTAGTCGCAGAATCGTTTTCAGTGTCTGATGACAAATTTCCCCACGAATCATTATCACTCAATTCTGCAAGTGGTTCTGATTTACTATCGCTGTTCTCTAGCTGGTCTAAAACCGCTTTTGACCTAAAGGGATGCTTTTTGGACACCATGGAAATTTCTCAGTTTCCAGGCAGAAAAAACAGTAAAAATGCAGGCAGGGCACAGGACAAAGCACTAGGGACAAAATTTATGTGAAATGCTTTGATACAGTAATGTTTTACTATGTGATTCTAGTGAATTTAGTGAATGTCACTTTTAAAATTTTCAAATTTCCTGCCAGTTCTGTCCCCCGTACGTTCTGACGTCGCAGGGAACGGAACCCGGAAAACATATGCCAGCATCGGCCGGAGGACATTGCAGGGTACACTGCAGGAGGGACATCGCGGGAGCGCAGAACAAGGTAAGTGAAGGAGAGATCCCGGAGCAACGCTGCAAGGCATTCCAGAGTGTAGCTCGGGGTTACCGCATGGTGGTGCTGAGACTTTAACCTGAGCTACACTCAGGAATACCTCCAGGGAGGTTAAACTTCCAATATTTCCAGTGCACCCCCCCCCCCCCCAATGTACAGTGCAAAATGGAAATTATTGATTTTTTGTGTGTTTCTAAATACCTTTATTATTCTTTGGACGGCACTTCCTGTCTCGGCCTCCTAGGTGATGATGTCAATAGGCAATTCCCATTGACTTCTGGGATATCGGCATCATCTATCCCAGGATTCTTTGGGAAGTCTAATAATGAAATGTGTTTTACAGGTTGCCAAAACAATGGGGAGGTTACTTACACCGCTGCCGCCATTGCCAAGGCACCCTGCAGTGTCCTTACTGGGTAGCCAGCTGCATTGAATCCTGGAAAAAGACACAAGTGGCCTTCAGATGCCCACATCCTAGATGGCCATCTGCATGCTTCTGAGATCAGGTTCATTTTTAAAGGTTTTAAACTAACCAGCACGAATACTGTTCCAACAGTATTCTAATTTATATGTACAAGTAATAAAATTCACAGGGGAATTTAAAAAAATGATTATGGGAACTGGAGCTCACCTTTAACTTAACATCCCCTTAATCCTAATTCTTAACCATTCTTAAACAAATCTCTCTTTGACTTTCTTTATGTAGCTCCCCTCTAGATAGCCAGGGGGAGCTAGTTACAGTTGTTTTTTTTTTTTTTTTTTAGTCAGAAAGGTAGAGTAGCAGACTGGGGAAAGTCAGCAGGGTGAAATTTTGGTTAGGGCTGAGAGGCTCTGCAGGTCAGTTCCTTGAAACCTCCTCGTGCTGTGGAGTCTTGGAGAGGATTCTGGAGGCAGTGGGTGGGGTTGGTCTAAACACTTTGAGGACTAAGCAGGAAGCTTGGCATGGGGCCAGGGCAGCCTTTAAGTGTGATTGAGCCTGCTCAGCAGCAGGAGAGTTTAGGTGGAAGATGTGAGGAAGGCTAAGATGCAGGAGCCTGGGAGGGGGTCCAGTTGGAAGGGGCCTACCTTGAGACTGGGACCTGGAAAGGAGGATCACTTGGCCTCACCGGTCCCCGGAGGGAAGACCACCTGTGGAGCTAGGGAAGGAACCAGCCCAGCAGAAGGCCTGACTGTGCAGGGCTATAGGGGGGCCAAAAACTTCAGCATCTTCTAAGGGGGTAGTGCTATATTTAGATTTACCATTCATTTATTTGGGGGCCTGTATAAACAATTCATTCAATTTATATCCAACCAAGTGGGTCCTTACTCTACATGCAATAGCTGTTAATATATCTAAAGGCAATTTTACATGTATATGTAAAGCTCACCACATTGGTTACAATCTGACTATACAATCTTTTTTAGATCTGACAACTATGTGTTGCAAGAGCTTGTCTGATTGGATAAGAATGGATTGGATAGTTTGGGCATGTCCTTATTTTTATATGGCATGTAGTAAATCTAAAATTAATTGTACAAAGATTGTACAGTTAGATTTGTAAGGTGTTTGGTGAACTCTGAAGATGTGACAAAAACAACTCTTGGAGTGTGCCCCCTCCCTGCACTGTAAGGGATAATTCCTTATTTAGTCCAGGGGTTGATGGTCAGGCTCAGGGGCGGACTGACCATTTGGAAACTCGGGCACTGCCCAAGGGCCAGGGGTCAGTAGGGGGCCCCAGGAGATGCCCCTAGTACCTTTCTTATAGGCTTTTTTGAGTTTGGGCAAGGACACAGGGGCCCCATGATCCCCTATTGCCCGGGGGCCCCATGAGTTGTCAGTCCGCTCCTATTCAGGCTAACTTAATTTAGCCCTATGACTTGGCTCCAGAAAGCTCTGGCACTCCCTTCCTCTTCCTGAAGCTCCACTCTGTGTGCAGTGCCTCAGTATTATCATATGCAATGCATTGCCATTAACCCTGCATTGTGTAAGGTGGGGGCAGGCATATAACCACAGCCTGAAGCACCTTAGGAGGCTTCAGGGACCTACAGTATTGCAAGAATACTGGAACCAAATGTAAGGTAAAGTAAAATATTACTCCTTATCTATGCACTCCAAGACTAATTGAGCATTTAATCCTTGAGGTGGGGGGACACTACATGGGTTTTTTTCCCCTTTTGTCTTTCAGGCCAGCACCTTGAGAGACCTCGGCTCCTCCCCATCTAAGGAAACACCTCCACCCTAAAATAAAAGATCTCCACTCCCCTCCGACCTCAGTTCAGGTGTTTCCTCCGGTGGGGAGACACGAGGAGGAGCAAAGTGCTGTCGCACAGACGGCAGGGGAGCCGAGGGCAGGATAGCCGGCTGAGAGGCTCGGCGCAGACAGGACTGAAGACCGGAGTGTCTGGCTGCGTATCCTCCCTGGGCGGGCTGCGGTGCAGTGGGCGCGCACCCCTGGAGACGGGGGTTGGCACGTACCTGCTCTTCGCCCCCCGACCCCCTCCAGCGAGTTGGGGTGTCGGGGTGGCCGTGGTGAGGTCTGGAGAGGATCGGGGTGGAGTCCCGCTCTTTCCCATGCTGGCGGTCAGGT